TCCTTCTCCCTCTTTCGCGGTGTTCCCACACCGCTGCTCGCACTCCACCTCCCGACGCGCTCGATCGCTGCACCAGTAGTCACCGCCGCCGCCTCCCGTCTGCTTTCGCCGGCGCGGTCTTCGTCCTCGGTTTCGGGGGCAGTATGCTCTCGGTTTAGGCTGTCCGCACCCCTACGCGGAGCGCAGCTGGGGCGGAGGATCGCCGGCGAGGGAGGATCGTTCGGCCGGGGACATTGATTTCGCCGGTTTCAGGACGCTTCGGAGGGTATTCCGTGAAGGTGACTTTCGACGGGACGGAACGGGAAAGGAAGTTAGTCCTCGGGGTCAAAGGAACTTAATTGAAAGAGGCTGGGGATAGCGAGGCCGATTACATGCTCGGCAATCTTAAAGACGGCTTTCCGAGGGAAGAGTGATGGTTTTAGGGCTGATGCAACGCTTCGTTCTCGCACCGATGCAGTTTAGGTTAATCCAAAGTCGGTGACATTGTGAGTTGATTCCTACGGTTTTAACGAAAGTTTCGAATATACGTGTTTCAGTGACGAAGACGGATCTACGATCTTTCAGCGTCGTTAATCCTGGAGTAGCTCGTAATGACTCGGAATCGATGAGAGATTATACGAGAAATTGCTCGTAGTGTCCAGGAACTTCGAATCGTTCGTTCAACTGAAACAGCCGAAAACCTGGAGCAGGATTTTCCAAGCATAGAAACAAGCGTCGCCGGTTCTCCGAATAACCGAAGCACCGCGTAGTCAAAGATATCTCGGTCTCTAGACTCGGCCGTTTTACGAGCGCATTCCTCTCGCCCTGCACCCGGAGGGAGTATTTACATGGTCCTATCGCGTTAAGCTACCGCTTCGAGATCGCATCGATCCTCCGCTTAAAGCCCTTCTCTCCCCCCCGGCCGCGGGATGGAAGAGGGAGAGCGCCGGAGGCCAATTTCCCAGAGACAAAGACCGGTGTCCCGCGTGGGTGGACGCGATCCCAGGGTTACGAGGATACCTGACCAGGCATCTTCGACGTGGGTCCCGGGGACACCGCTGACGAGGGACAACGACGACGACGACGACGACGACGACGCTCCTCCGAGTATCAAGGTCGTCGGACTCGTCGGCTCCCCTTGGTGGGGGAGGCGGGCGCGCCGCGGGAGAGGGCAGGACACGCCGGCGTTCGCTCGTCCCGCCGCCATTGCGCGCATACTTGCTCCCGGTTGCGTAAGAATCAACGGTTGTTTTCGACTCGACCAACCCTCTTTCGCTGGCCGGCCGGCCAGTCGTAATGCGAACGATAATGAGTCGTTCGGGACTGTCCGCGGAGGAGGCCAGCCGAGAAAATTGGCCTTGGACGAGTTCGGTTGGGGTTCGCGGCGGGGTTACTCCGTGGAGTCGCTGGTCAGGCGACGAGGAACTCGGTGACTTTGGAATTTGTTAATGAGACATTGGGCACCGAGTTCATTTCCATGCGATTTTACTTACAATTAGCTGCTCGATGCCGTTCGTCTTCTTCGTGGTTCACCTGGAAAAAGCGTTAATAATGTAAGAATGTTGTATAATAGTTGTTTGGATTTGAGTTTCTGGGGTACGGTGAGTCCTTTGAATTAACCCCTTGCACTCGAAAGGCGGCTCCTAGTCGCCAGATGATTTGATAGAGCAACATTAGAAACTTTGATATTTACCGTTGCCCTCTGTATGCTGCATCGATGCGTGAAATATTGAAAGAAAATAGCTTTAGTTTAATTCATATGTGATTTCTTAATAAATTCATTTCAGAGTATCTCGTCTAGATTTAATTAGAACGTATTGGATATTTCAAGAATCTCTAGTGCAAAGGGTTAAACGCTCAAGCTCGCGTTAGATCGAGAAATGATTGAGAGTTTGGGATGTGGAATTCATTCTGATTCTTTTTTACGGTTTTTGCGTGATGGAACTAACGAGTATTGGACGAGTCATTAAGGTTCGCTGGACAGCCGCTTCGCTGCCGAAGGACCAGCTTCGTTATCAGGCCGGAACGTTCACGCATTCCCGGCGCAGCGTTTGTCTAACTGCTCCGCACGTGAATCTTTGCCGGCTACTAGTCGAGAATACCGCAATGATGTAACCAGTTTCTAGGCTTTCGTGTCACTACGTCCCCGGCCGCCATGGGAAACTACGGCAACGCACGCGCGCACACGTAACTAGCCGCCGGTGAATCAGCCGACTTCACGGAAACCTTCGAAAAATGACTACCCTGTCGTGCTTGGAACTCTGGCGTCACTCTTCCGCGCCCCTAGCAGACTATCGACTCCAACGGTAATCGAGTTATCAATTACGTTCCTCCATTTCAAAAATTCGCGTTCCCACCTGTTTCTAAACAGAATCCCATCAGCGAATGTGTTAAAACTGTATGAATAATTCATAGCTAATATTCACGATTCAGCAATTTTAATTTGACAGGTTAGGCGTCATGTCAGTCACCGGTGACCGGCGTTTCATAATACCGTGATGCAAGAATGCAACAACAAATAACAATTTCTTCCGCGTTTCTCTCAAAAGAATAACTCCACGCAAAGACGATCAAGATTCACAGCTGTTAACGTGTTAAAAACACATTACCGCGATCAACGAATACCATAAACGATCCTTTTTTTCGTAGAAACATCAACAACCGAATTCTCCGCAAAATCGGCAAAAGTGCAACGATGCTTCCGCAATGGTCGCCGATCGCGTTACGCCATTACAATCTCGCAATACTTGAATTCTGGCTGGTCGAGGCCGCAGATCGTTAAAAACAAAGGCGAAAAAAGAGCCGCGGGTCCGAAGAAACGCATCGCAAGGGTTAACGACCCATTAAACGAGCCCATCGAATCCGGCGCGTTGCAGCGATCGCAAAACCGGGGCAAACGGCGGCGGCGGAACGTTGGGAAAGAGGAGAGGAGAGATCCGTGGAGCGTGAATCCGCGGATGTGCAGTAGGCTGGTTGCAGGCCAGGTAGGGTGAGCACGTCCCTATGACACAAGAACCTAGCAGCGCAACTAGTTGCATAATCGGCTGCATTCCCGGTACTCGGGCTCTCTCTCGTAGGGTTCGCGAATACCGCGGGCTCCGAGGTAGCAGACCTCGCGGAGGGGGACGGCGCGGGGCGCGAAGGGACGAAGAAAGGTGGACGAAGGAGAGGAGGGCAGGAGGGCCGACGAGGGGGCGGCCGGAGGGGAAAGTGAGACGGACGCCGCGTCACGTAGGCGGTTAGGGCGCGTTCGCATACACGCGGCCGAACACGAACGGAGCGGCGCGCGGAGAGGGGAATCGCACCGGTGGACAGAGGGAACACTGTGACGAGGAGCGCGTGGAGGGGCGAGCGGGCTAGCGGTGGGGGAACGAGAAGGTTGAGGTTATAATACCATTGGAGTAGTGGCCGCATGACCTTGCGTACGCGTCTAGGTCGATGAGCCACGGTCGTTAAGGCGTCGCCGGGGCCGATTCTTTTCGGCGAATTTCTCGCGCGGGTTGACGGGCGAATGTCGATCGGTTGCGTAACCCGCCGGCGCGCACCGCCTCGCGAAAAAAATAAAGACAGAGCGAGCGCAGCGCGCCGCTCCTGGACCCGTCCGTCTCTCTCTCCGCCTCCCGTTCCTCCCCCGAACAGACAGAGCCGCGCAGCGACGCGCTGATTAATTGCATCCGAAATAATCCCGCGTCGCGGCGATACCGAGCGATATTTGAGAAAGAGATTCGCCGCCGAACGCCCGGCCCAGACGAGGCTTTGCTCTCCTCGCGCGGGGCGAGCGAGATGCCTATCGCGACGGCTCCGAAATTAGCGGCGCGCGGAGATATCGTTTATCAAACTGTAAATAAAGGAACGAGCGAGCGGACGGCGCATCGCCTGCATCGCCGGAAACCGTAACTGGCCTACTCGTCGCTCCCGGACGGGAATCGCGCCGGAAACCGGTGAACAGTCCTGAAAACCTCGGTAAAACTTGGTCTTCTTATCGTTCCGCGAGGTTCTTGGAAGTTTCTCATGAAATCGCAGTTTCGGCTAACTTCTCGAAGCTTGGTACCTTGTTCTAATAAACGTTCTACTCGAAACACTTTTCTATAACATAACATTCGCTGCAATCTAATAGAATTAAAACAAACTCCGCAACACCGCCCTCGTCCTCCGTCGATCCTCTCGAATCTCCGTTTCTTCCTGGAAAACGGGGTTAAAGGTCCCCGCTTTCCCATGGGCGATCTATGATCCGCAAAATCGGAGAACAGCTCGGTAGCCGAGCGACGAGAGCCGCGCGTCGTCTGATATAAGAGGGAGTCGGTGCAGGCTAGTTGCATAATCGCATTCCCGTCGGTGCGGCGGCTGCGGTGCGCGCCACGTAGGTGGTTGCAAGTGCGCGGAGAGCGCGCCCGGCACGATACGAGGCGGGCACGATCGGCCGCGATAAGGCGGCGAACAAGAAGAAGCCCCCGATGTGTCCCGACGAGAAAACAAGACCGCGGCCGCTGCCGTTGCAGCCGGGAGGGAACGGTCCCGACGGTTAGGAAGGAAAGGAAGAGGGAAGCCGGCGCGGGCCGCGGCGAGGGGGCGAGGGTTAGTACCATTGGATCGGTGACCGGATGGCCTTGTGAATATGCGCCACGGGCGAAGCCCGGCCCGATGCGACCGCGGCTCGCCCGATATTTCTGGACCCTCGAGACCGCAGCTAGTTTAGGCTCGGCGATACTCGCGGGATACTAACTCCGGTTCCCCTTGTCTCTCGAAATCCTCGCCGCTCGAACTGGAATTCGTTGCCTGGACTTCTTATTTCTCGGATCATGAGGATTACCGTCGTGGAATGTTTATTTATTTTTCATTATTGTTGTCAGGCTGTTGGTTCGAGCAAACTCTTGGTAGCTCTCCAATCGGAGACTCGTGTTTTTCGTGAGGAACTTTGAGAATCGATCGTGAGAACTTTTCGATTTGAAATCTGTTGGAGTAGATGGAAGATTAATGTATTTCTTGCTGCATGATGTGAAAACGTTCGGAGTCTGAGGAGATTATTAATCCGCTGGGTTCCGTGGGAACGACGTCTGATCACGAACGTCCGTTTCCACTCTCGAACGCGAAGATCACCGTATCGACGCGTCCGAGGGCTGCCTTTCGGTTACGAAGTCGTTAGCCCGGCCGAGCAGATAATCGCCGCCTAATCGCGTTACTCTTGAACTTGCGGGCGGAGAAGAGAAGGAGAAAACGGTGTCCTTTGGCAATGTTGTTCGGCTCGCGGGCCACGAAATCCGGAGCGATACGGGCGGAAACGATGTCAAGGTCGCGGTATCTTTGGCTGATTTCAAAGTCATCGGCGCGTCTGACACCGCGGATGAATTCAATGACCCGTAATCGTGTGATCTTTAAATGACCTTACGCAATAACGATTACGGGCCGACTGTAATAAACAGTCCCCCGGTTAACGACGCCGGTCATTGAATAACTTTCGCGTGACCGTCGCCCGTGAATTTCGGGGTGGTTATCAACTGTCGTTTCTTTTCACTCTTTCCCTTTCTCTCTCTCTTTTTATCGACTGCGTTTTTTGCCATTCAAAGGAGAACGGCACCAGCCTTGATCTTGAGCGTGATTTATAGCGTCTCGTCCGGACGGTTCGCCAAAAAGAAAATAGAACGCCGGTCGAAATTCGAAACTGCTCGAATCGAGAGGAAAAAAATTGCCCGGCCGCCGGTCGACGCCAGGGAAAGTCGATCCGATATTTTAATTTTCGTCCTGACAACCGTGCTCGCGACGTTTCGCAATCATCGCCCGGCCGGATGACGCGAGACGCTAAAACCACAGACGATGACGTGAATTAAAAATCGATCCGAGCCGCGTGGAAAAAATCGGCCGAAAAAATTGTTTGATCCTGAAACGACTGTAACGAATTTTTTCTCCCGACTCGAAGACGCGGATAACTAGTTTTTGCCGTGCCACCGTCGAATCGCGCTCGATTATGGACGTGTTTTCGAAATTTTAATCGAGAATTATATTCGACGGTGAGACGGCCGGGATTCAAATGCGAAGATTAAAACGAAAGGAACTTCTGAAAGTTATCGTCGAATGGAAACGCGTCGACGCTATCGCTGTTACTTTTAGAGCAAGGTATACGGGAGAACTGATTTGTTTTACGATAACGCTATCGCCGCCGATAGTCCGGATGAACATCTAAAAATTAGTGTCACTAGTTGCCGGGTGCTATCGATAAATATTCATATATCTGGTAGGTAAAGCGCGAAGTAGAGAAAATAAATGAAAAAAATATCGACTGACGCGATTTGTTGATCGAAAATGTTAAGAGCAAGTTAACGGTAGAACTAGCATTTCATACGATTAATAAGTAATCCCTATAGGAATCGTAACAATAGATTATTTTCAGTTTCAGGGATTCATTATAGTATTCACTATAGTAATATCGAATGCTTTTAAGATATAAATAATCGCGAAACAGAATCGGAACCGGTTATTTTGACTGGTGCGGTAGTTCTAGTGTTAAAAAAAGAAATACTCGCGAATGCTAAAAGTAG